TAAACGTAAATACGCGTCCGGTGCCCCAGCGCGCAAAAATTACAATTGCGCTACACATGTTACATAACGCCGCGAACGTCGCAGTGAGAGCAATCATTTTAGGGCCATCAATCACTGATAACACTAAACTGATGAGCGGTAACAGCTTTTAAAGCGTCACCTATGGCCAATTTTGGGTATTATCGTTTTTTGAGGTTTCGCGCGCGCACGCAATTTTAAGGCTTGACATGTTTGGTGTCTTTTTACCCGATGTGACCCCGTCTTTTATATTTTACCAAAAAATTGGGTAATAATAAATGTTTTATCATTTAATATAGGGGAAACTGTTTTTTTTAAAAAATTTCGGTAATTTTTCCTTAATATAGTAAAAAAATAAAAACCCCAGTGGTGAATAAATACCACCAAAAGAAAGCTCTATCTGTCCCCAAAAAATGGTATAAAATTCATTTCAGTACAGCGCTGCATGACGGAATACATGTCAGTCAAAGTACCGCAGCGCTGAATACTGAAAAATGGCCTGGATGGGAAGGGGGTTTAACACCGCGGATGTCAACTGGTTAATGAAGGTGTGCCCTTGGACCCCCTGTTCCCTTGTAGCTGTGAACTGGAGTTGTATCCCATTCAGAAGTTCATTCCTTACTTCAGGAGAAGTTTTTTTTATGCTCGGATGCTACTGCGTCCCTTTCGGTACCTGATTCCTGTTAGCTTTCCCCATCTGTAGAGGGACCCCTTGACATACAAAATCAGGCAGGACCATTTCCTGCTGCTCAATTCCTTTATAGGGACATGACCCCTCAGTGTCCTTCAGGGGTGCCTGGTTTTTCTCAGGGCATTGGACCTTTTATCCACACGGCTTTTCTGGCACCAATATTGTGCATTGCTTAGACAACCTCCCTTGAATAGGATTGGCTTTAAGGACTCTATAGTAAGGCCCAAAACCCCTAAACTTTGGCCCGATGGAGCCTCACAGGTGACTGGCATGGTGGGGTCTCCCCTTACTGATTGGAGAGAGATCAACAGGCTTACAGCCGCTGATCTCTCCTCTGATCACTGGACCCGGAAGTGATCAGAGTCACTGGGGTTGATTTACTAACCTTATAAACACACCACGAACGTGTATACACCTCTGCAGTGTGTTCCCTCCCAGCATGATCTATGGGTGGAATCTAAACACCTTTGTAATGTGTACACACCCAGCAGGTGTGTTGTGCAAAGCCCTGAAGGAATTCCAAGGTGATGTTGGGTAAATTAGCTCTATGTTGTGTTGCTTGCGTTGATGAATGCAAGGAATGTAAATGCATGAGCTAACCATTTTTGTCTAAACTGTGAAGCAGCATTATATATGCATCATGTGCATGATTTTTCCATATATGGCATTAGTGGAAATATGCTTTTAGAGACTTTTTGGTTGATAAATACGTTTTGCTGTGTGAAAATCACACACACCTGGTGTGTGTGTGTGTTTAGGTTAGTAAATCACCCCCACTGTGTCACTTCTAGTGTCACTGTGTACATTCTCTGGCTCTGCGAGTCAGGAGAAGAAGTTGGGAAAGCAGATCTCTGCTTCTTTGGTGTCCCTAGGTGACATTAGGGGTCTGAAATAACCCTGTTGTCTCCGTAAAGAGGACCTGTCACATTATATTTGCTATTACACAGGGGTCTTCTTAGCCCCCTATGTGATTGCAATAAAGATGAGTGTAAAAAAAAAAGTTATAAAATGAAAGCAACATTTAAAAAAATGCAAAACATTTTTTTTAAAAGGCCCCCGACCCCCAAGTGCGCGCACATATAACGCAAACACGTATTGGGTGCGTCTACCTGAAAAAACGAAAATTGCACCACACGTGTGAGAGCAATAATTCTAGGGCCACAATTCACTGGTAACACTAAACTGATGAGCAGTAAAAGCTTTTAAAACGTTGCCTAAGGGAAATTTTTGATATTGTAGTTTTTTGCGGTTTCACGGACGCATGCAATTTTAAGGCTTGACATGTTTGGTATCTAGTACCCCGGCGTGACCCTGTCTTTTATATTTTACCAAAAAATCAGATATTATATTCTGTTTCTGTGCACTAAATTTCATTTTAGTGTATTTAATCCTAAAAATACTGGTTTGATAAACATTTGCGCAAATACCGCATAACATAAAAAATTGCAACTAGCATCTTTTTATTCTACAGGGCTTCTGCTTTCAGAAAATATATAATTGTTTGGGGATCTGAAGCTATTTTCTAGCCCAAAATTCAGATTTTATCATGTGTGTGCAAATCTAAGAAATTGCTCTGGCCATGAAGTGGTTAAAGCACCAAAAGCATATCTTAGGAGGTAGGAGGGATGTGGTCGGGCTCCGCTTTAAAGGTAGACTCAATATTTACTTCAGCTGCCTATATCTCTGCATCTACTGATCATTTTGACGTGCAGTTTGTACTGAACCATCTCCTCATACATTATTTATTTTTGTCATCCTATAATCTGTTTGACTTGTCCAAATTTGGGGCAGATTTATTTTTCTGCGAGGCAGGATTGCATTATAAGCTATTTTTTAACAACATTTTTGTAAACAAGTTTTACTTCTGATATGCATTGTTTTTATTTTTTTATAGGAAGTCATTGTTAGCCGGTGGATCTCATCACAGGAGCGAATGGAGCATGAAGAGTTGTAGAACAGTTGAAAGAAAAAAAAAAAAAACCCCAAAAAACTTTTCATAGTAAACTATTTTAAATGATCTTTTCTTACAGCTATATTTTCTTTACATTTGAAAATATTGCTAGAAATTAAATGACCAATGGATGTATGGTATAATCAGTTCTAAGCTTGTGACAGTGTTAGTGGGGATGGCGAGATCATAACAGATAATGGGAACAACTAATGTTGTAGGATGAGATCCGCTGTATTGGAATTTTTCAGCCAATAAACTGTTGGTGTGGGATATGGCAGGAAAAAAGAGGGAATCTCCTAAAGATCTTGTTGTTTGATCACAGTTTTAGTATTACCTCCTTATGGTGCCTTTGGTAAGATGTTAATAATTTACAGTCACAGTTAAAGCTTATCTAAAACAAAAACTTGAGTATCCGCTTTCCAGTCCTTTGATATAGTGTCTGCATTTTATTCAGTCTTTTGTTTTCCACCTGGTAATACTGGAAAAATGCACTTCCCTGTGTGGCTATTTTTAGTCTTCCACGGTATGGAACACAAGCTGGACTTCAGATGTGTCTGTCCTTGTTCATCTACATTACCTAGGGGCTAATGGGATCAGTAGAAAAAAAAACTGGAATTATCGGCCCCCATGTCAGTCCATGGGGAATCGAATGTTAATGGACATGTGTCCATTTACATTAGATTACCCCCAATCCGGCACGATCAGGTATGGCAAAACAGATCTCTGATTTGTTTGTTTTTCGGGGACCTGGCCGGAGTTGGGAGTAACCCAGGTGTAAATGGATGGCCATCGGTTTACACACTGCTGCCCTTAAACTAACATTGGGCATTCGATCGGGTCCACTTGAACAACTCATAGGCGGACCCAATTGGACTGCCCGTGTAAAAGAGGCCTAATGCAGCCACCACGTCTATGGTCTGGTAAGTTTCAATGTATAACATTTTTGCTTGGGTTTAGACATTTAGATGTTAGCTTGAGATGATCAGTTGACCAGTTCATAACAATAGACATACTGTTCAGTGTGCTAAACTTCTTTTAGCCAGAAATATTAAATAACATTGAAACATGGCTTATGTTAAGTTACATAACAAATATAAATGCATATTTCCTCAATTTCCATACAGATGTGTAAATAGTTTGTTCTTAAATAATAACAGTCACACAAAGTGACAATGTTCTTAGTGTACCTAATACAGTACCACGAGTGTCCATGTCTGAGGCAAACCATGGACACTAGATTGCATTCTGAAGAAATGGTGATTGAGCTTTGGTTCATTTGACAAAAATCGTTTGTAAGCAATATGCAGGCGCATTTCCTTTGCCTGGATACATCGCCCGATCAGGTTGTATGGCATAGCAGCAAGGTTATTTGATGAGCCGCCTCTTGGGTAAGTAAGATTATTGATCGATAGAACTTTATGTAGACCTCCGTACGAAAGACCTTTAACAAGTTGGGCAAGCATGCTGTCTTATGTCTGTGGGTCACCATAGTAATGCTGATCACAGGTATGACAGGAGTTTCAGATGTAGAGCCAAAGGAAATCTCAACGCTCCAATTCCTTAGCCGCCATCAGGAATCCCCAGGTGCTGTTTGGGGGTTTGCGGTGCTGGTATTTGCTGTTTTATACACCTTTATCCAATGGCACACTAGCTTTGCTGTGAATTTCAATAAAGTCTGAAGTATTAGAATTCTCTGGATAGTGCGGTCTGTTCGTATACTACTACATTCCAAGGAGTTTCAGATGATTTTATTTATTTGGAATTATATTTACATGTAGTGAACAACTATAGATACAGATATAAATTCCCTACTTTGCACTGCCTGACTTTAGAAAGTTCAGCATCTACCCACATAATTGTTATTTTCAAAATGGCTATGATTAACCCAGCAGAGGATATTTCCAGTCCCCAGTGCTAATCACAGTGTACTTTTTTTTTTTTTTAAATAAATTCTCTATAACATTTTCAAAAAACATAGAGAAACAGTCGTCTCAACATTGGATATTCCATAAACATGAATTAGGGCGAGGTATATATAAAATAGGCAGGCATATGCAGACAAAATAAGGAATTGGAGATATGCATAAGATGCATGCCCTCGAAATCGAAAAATAGTCATGCCAAATACAGAATGGGTATTATAGTATGCCAAAAGCAGGTATTTAACATCATGAGTTTTATGGGCAACTAATGAACAAGTAAGAAATCATCCATTGAGTATGGGAGAGTGATATTAGGTATTATTAGCACTATGCAACATTATTTAAATGAAATGACCTAGGTCTAGGCATAGGATGTCCAACCCCTGGGTAGTAATGTATGAAAAAAGAGGAAAGGATATAAAGCTGGGGGTTTTTTTGGATCATCAAACTGACAACCTTCAGACCAAGCGTTCTTTAGAGTAAAATATATAGTTTTATTTGATTCAACATGATACGTTTTTAAAACAATAACAACAGACAGTGATTTCATAAAAATGACAGCAAAATTTCCAAATAAGCTCACTCCTCAATGATGAAAACTCACAAACCAAATGACTAATTTGATAAATCACATGATGAATAGTGTTGATAACCGAGACACAATTGACATTATATGATGCATAAATAAATAAATATAGGAGGAGCTTGATGTTGTCTCAACGTGACGTTTCGCGCTATGTGGCGCTTCTTCAGGAGAGGAAAAGGGAAGCAAACAAGTTGTCGGCGACTGACAAGAGGGGCGGATTCCATCTGAATCAGGTGATGACGTTATGACGATCCAAAAAAACCCCCAGCTTTATATCCTTTCCTCTTTTTTCATATAGCACTATGCAACAGATGATCTAAAAAAAAGTGTGAGGAAATCAAAGCAAAGGTTTAGAAAGTGGAGAAAAGAATACACTCCGAGACACAGGGGAAAGGGAAATGAGGGAACCCCCTCTCTCTGTGACACGGGTCGTAGTCCTACCGTAAAGATAAGTATTCAGAGGGCACTATGAACTCTATCCAGTAAAACCAGGTGCAGTAAAAAAAAATGGCATAAGGGTGTTTAAGAGAACTCGTGAGGTCCTCCATTAGGTAGATGTCTTGATTGCGGTCGAGCACATGCAGAATACTGGGGGCTTCAGGGTTCATCCACAGTGCAGGAATACAAGCTCAAGCTGCATTAACTATATGTCTTACAATCGAGTGTTTGTAGGCTCAGTGTTTGAGGGGTTCGGTACCAGCGAGTGACAATCATATCCGGACTTATTGCATACAGAGGACTGGTAGGACAGGGTCAGTAACTTTTCGCTAGAAGCTGCAGTGGAGATAAGTGGATCTGGAGATCCTCCTCTCATCTCAATAGGATCCACAATCGAGGTGTAGTATTGGACATGAGCAAGAGTGTGTAGCACAAAAAGAGTACATGGCGTGGGTGGCCCTCTTAGGTGCAATTAAGTTCAACGGGGGTCAGGGGCGTTCAAAAGTTCTGTGCTCTAGGGATGGAACAGAGAAAGTTGGATAATTGCATCGCTGAACAGAAATAAAGAGTACCATAATCCGGGCTGGTATGTAAGGCATTGAAGGGTGGTCAGTTCGAATCGGAGAGAAAGTGTGAAGCTTTGTTCTTTCCCAAATGATGCAAAGTAGAGTAGGAGTCCAGGGGGAAAGGCGGGATTGTCGAGGATGGGAAATAGAGGAGAAGGGTCAGGAGAGATGGGCCCTTGTGAGAAAACAAAGCGGGCTATTTTCAGGGTGGGACTAATGGTAGGGTGTAGAGTAAGATGTTGAGGTAAAGGAGTTGAGCACCATGGAAGATTAAGTAAGGGGACCTCTGTGGACGATTGTTCCAGATCAGTCCAAAGTTTGGAAGATTAATTACGACACCAGTCGACATCTCGTGTCAGGTGTGTCGCCACGTAATATAGGCGTACGTCTGCAGGGCAATTCCATAAAATATTGTAACTTAGTCTGGCAGGCTTCTTCGCCCAGACGAATTTGGTAAAAAGGGCTGTGAATAGGGAGGGCTTGAATAGGATAAAGAAGCCTTAGGAGTACTGATTGTTTCAAGATATTGCAGCGGCCCATCCATGGAAATGTTCCCTTAGTCCAAGTCCCTAGCGATTTACGGGTCAGTAAGGGAGGAAAGTTCAAGGAGCATGTCAGTGAGGGATCTCTCAGTAGGAGAATGCCCAGATACTTGGTTGCATGGGAAGCCCATTTGAAAACATTGTTCATGGTCCTCAGCTGCACAATTTATAGTGTTGGCTGCAGGGTAAATCATGCCCTGTGTCTCCCAGTTTGCAGCCTATCCCAGGGCTTCAGCAATCAATAATATATGTGGCTATTGCCTCTGAAATACTGTACTCTGCGATTTCTTCATTAACCCCTTCGTGACGGGAGACGTACACTGTTCGTCCAGCCACAAAGGGACCAAATGACTTGTCACGTACACTGTACGTGACGAGTAATTTGCTTCTTTAGAGGGCTGTTAAACGCTGAGAATCAGCTTTTAACATTCATTAATAGATGCCCTTACTACAGAGGCATTCATTAATGAAAGGGTTAACCTTTTTCAGACACCCGATACCTTAATATCGGGTGTCTGAGAGTCAAAGCAAAGCGGACACACATGCCGGCTTTTGCCGGCATTCTGACAGCTCGTATAGATTGAGAGAGATATCTCTCTCAAGCTATACTGGCTTTTTTTTCTTTCATGAATAGATACATAATGTGTCTATTCCTATAATGTATCTATTCCTGGAAGAAGAATGTTTCAGTTTGCTGATCGTTGTTGCAACAATCAGAAAACCTATAGTGACAGCTGAATCCTGAACTGCTGCAGGATCAGTGTCACTAACTTATTATCGGCTGTTCTGAAGTTTGAAGCAGCCTGATAATAACCAAAAATGTATTAATTTATCAAGCAGTAACAGTGAGATTAATTCACAATGACTGTTTGATATAATTAAATAAATAAAATACAATTTTTAAGTTTAAAAAAAAGTGAAAAGTGTAAAAAAAAAAAAAAAATTGTGAAAAGTGTAAAA